GAGGGACGATAGTTCATCCATCCATAATGTGTATGGGTATAGTGATAGAACGGCTCAGTTCCACTTCTTGGGGGTCTGACACTATGGGATTTTCGTCATTGCTGCTGGATGACGGAAGGACGAAACCGGCTGGTTGTACGGAGTACGGAGTACCCCATAAGTTTATCCCCTCCCCCAAACTAACCCGCTCCCGAGATGCTGAGCTTGATCCGCCATCTCACGCATCCTTTCATCCTCTCCAAGCCTTCAGCTGCGGAATGCCCAATCCAGGAATCCTTTGCTTGGCAGGCGGGTTGATGGATGTGGAGTGTGACAGAGTTCACCTGGTCATCCTGTGTCGGTTACACCATGAGGACGAGGATGGCTTGTCCTCCTTAGACCCCAATAGAAGGCAGCCAGGTTTGTTGAATGCTGACTGCAGGATTGGTCAGATTGGTCAGATGCTTACTTATTTATTCGTACATGATGCGGCTGTTGCGGGCGCATTTGCAATACGAAGCGATAGGTTCAAAGTCGGCCTCCGAGCACCCGACCTGAAGCTCTGTAGGCGGCTTGATCAGCATTCTGATCGAGTCAGACATAGAAAGAGACGGACAGTGGCCTCAGGGAGGAGGACCGGACGTGACGTGACTAGAAGGGAAGTGTGTTGACCAAAACCTGTCTCGACCTTCGGAGGGATTTAGGCTGACGGGTGGTGGGGTGGGAAGTGCAGAGGTAGTAGGTTGTAGTTAGAGGGTATAAACGACGGATCATGGATGGTGGATGGTTGGTGGATCGCTGGGTTGGCGAGCCGCAATGGATGGGATCTGGATGGGGAAAAGTGTGGGAAAAGAGTGTGGAGTAGGCTGTGGCGCATAAGAGGAAGCAAAAGTATCCCTTGGATGTCGACGATAGACAATCCGGCCTCACAACAAGAAGGTATTGGGAGAAGAAGAAAAGGCCGATGCAGCCAAAGAGTGCCCAACGGCAGCATTCCAAGTTCAAGCTTGCCCCTTTCAGTTTCCCTTACAGGAAACCTCCATCCCCCACCACACTGCAACATATTCAGGCATCATCACTTCAAATGGCGGTCAGGACGAGCTTGAAACACTTCTACTCGCTCACTCAAGAGATACAGGAAGGAAAATGAGATTCAGAAGCCCGGGATGGGCCTGGATTATGTACTGCAGTGCTCACCTCTTTTTTGGCCGTCCCAGTCCCCGAAGGTTTCGATCGCCTTGATAACTCTGCATATTGACATCCGTTGAGGACGGCTGTCAAAGATAAGGAACCATGTCTAACATTTGGGTCGTACCTGCAACCCTGCAATCTGTCCTCACAGTCATCAACCAGAAAGGGGGTTGCGTGTGAGACACAATCGAATCACAGTCGTGGAATGCCCTATCGATCGACCGGCAAATGGCTGAAACCCATTGTTATCATCTAAGAAAGTATCGAAGTTCATCTCCTCCTGCCCGAACTCCGAGAGCGACGATAAAGTGAGGCTGTTTGACTGGTGGTTTCGATCCATCTCCTCTTTCTTTCTCCGCATTCTCCGACCCCAGACCAGTTGCCGAGGAAAATCCTGGAGAGAGGCCCTCTTCGTCCTCACGAACGTGATTCATGTTACCCCTGGGGTATCGGGTAGATTCGCCTTTCGATGAATGGACTGTTAGATCCAGTTCGAAAGCGAAAAAGGACAGCCAGTACCAGGGTGTCTTTATAGGCAGGCTCCTTCTCACGTTCCCTCGGCCACCCTCCATCACAATCGCGATTTCATCACCGAACCCTCTTATCACGACACCCACTATCAGCACGGAGTCTAAAAAAAAAAAACCTTACTTTGTTTCTCACTTGTTTTGCTTTAATAATCATTCCTCATGTCCTGTCAACCAGTCACGCGAGCGCGATTTTCAACCGCTGCGCATCATTGCGATAAGCACACTGCTTCTCTGGTCTTGATCATTGGCACCACGGGTTGGATGGTTGTTATCGGGCTATCAATCCTTTCCCCGGAATCCGTGTTCAGTCCCGGGCGGTGATTGTGATTGAGGATCAAATCTTCATATGGCGACGGCTTGGTTCGGATCGCCATTGCACAGGGTGCTTTGTCCTGTCCATCGCTGCCAATCACTGTGTAGAGGGTGTAGGATAAGGCGATAGTGGCGATCGATGCTGTGATTGTTGAAAAAGCAATGTACATAAGATGTAAAGACTTATTGGTGATGGTGCTGCAAGATTGGTTGATAAGAGCCAGTCCCCTGGTTCATAAGTCTTGGAGACACCCGCCTTCCGCCTTCTTCGAGCAAAAAGCGCAAGTGTTTGTGGTAGATATGCTCACGCCGTGGTATTGTACAGGGTGGGCGTGTCTCATGGTGAATGTGGCTCCATAGCCCTACGACCAAGTCGATCATCGGCGGATGATGTAATGACAAGGTCAACTTGACTCATCCTTGGCAGGTCCAATCACTAGTACCTGGGTCAACGAGCGCATTTCCTACCTCCAAACCACAGGATTCAATTCAAGTCTCGATGTAGACCGGATAAGGCAACTTAACGATGGGATTCGAGTTGAGAAGGTTTGTGTGTGCGAATCTGTATTTTGCTGAGTATGTGCGCGGGAACCTTTATCTCGAAGCTAAACCTAGTTACTAGCTCAAAGTAGCTAGGAAGTTAACTATAGATGCTATACAACCCATCCCACGGACCTAGGAGATTCCTACTGGGTGATCTGGAGCTATTTCCTTGACACTATACGGGGGGGCAAAAAGAGCTTCCACGTGGCAGAAAAGAGCTAAACAAGTCCTCTATCCCTCGTTGCGCAGGAATTGCATCTCTTAATATATACCCGACATCGCTGAATTCAAATTAGATGCAACTGGCACCAACCAGCCATGCGACCGACAATCCCATCCAAAGCCATTCGACGTCCTTCATTCCACCAGTCCTGCAGTCCTGTCGGCGTTCTAGAGCAATCCAAACCACGTGATCCGAGGCGATTCACCAAGTGAGTTTTGCGCACCTTGAGATCCTAGCTATTCCATCCAGCAAACCACCGAGGAATCAAGAAATCGTTCCATATCACCCATTCCTGAGTTATCCAATCTTGCTACGAGTCCAAGCCACCTGAATGAGTTCGGAACTCTACTTCCGCGCCAACCCGCAAGCTCTGTACCACGTTGACGAAGGATCGATTCGATCTTGCACAGCGGGGTGTGAGCACTGACCAGCCGGATGTCACTACGTTCGCTCGAGGAAGATCTGTCACTATATGTTCCTGGTCGAACTCCGGTCCGTAACCTCTCAAGGACCAGGGGGTCCTAAGATCACGAAGGATATCAAATCCAACGTGCGTGAACCACGGTCATCCCATTGACTGTCTTGTGGTGTGGTTCTATAGTAGCCAAGCCGCAGCTCCCGATGATATATATAAAGCTGATCGACTACTGTGAAAACAAGCGATTGATCCCGATCGCGAGGAAAATGTTACCGGCAGCAGTAATGCATGTGCTTGTTCACCCCCAGTATCTCTCTCTCTCTCTCTCTTACGCGCGCGCCCTCTCGCGAAAATCGCGATTCGTAACTTCTTAAGCTCTCCTGAGCGAGTCGAACATCGAGAGCTCATATGCCTGCCGAATATCGGATACATGAGTGCTAAGTCTACCTATCAGGTATCTGGATCCATCATATTCACGAGACCCCAAGCGCCTAGGAAGCCCATGGCAGGGGGCGTCACTATACCGGAAACATCCAAAGAAACAGAAACTGAATATTGTCTTCAGCCAAACGGTACTTCATTTGAGATCCACCACCCAGTGGGGAAAGACCTTGAGTTGGTGACGTAGCCACCACAGATTCATGTTAGACCGCGAACATGGACTTTCGTGCAACGGTTCTGAGTCATATACGAGCTGACCCGTCGGTCAAGCGTGCTTGCTGAAGGGGACATGATGTACTATATACTTGAATCGTTCTTTAGCGAACGCATCAGGTCAATGGTACATCCTGTTCCAAAGATGCGTGCTTAGAAAAATTAACTAGACATGATAGAGGGACCGGTATCTTGTTGGTGAGTCGGAGATTTGATTTTATCCTTGTATATGAGAGTGATTCAAGACAGACACCGGGTGCTCTGATGAAGAAAGGCCGCCTTGTGGCTGATTGAGAGTGAGACACGGACACATTCGGGTAGTTAGATAATTGAACGTAACGCGTAGGAAGAGACTACGGTCATCACTCGCAAGCTGATGCTGCTATTCAGGCACATCATCGGATACCACAACTTGACATAGGCTGTGGTGTCTTGCCAAGGCAGTGTAGGGGTGTAGCTATTTGTGAACTGCCATCTCCAAAGAGTCAATAGCGACACAGGGACTCGGTTCCATGAATTGTACATGCCAGTCAGCCACATCAGTTACACAATGCTCAGCAGAGGTACATTCCCAAATAGTACACAGATGAGCTGATGTGCACTGTCCTACTACACGGAAGGTGATGAGCATTGAAGACAAGAAAGCACCAGGCTGTACTGCTGATGCACCAAGCCAGCCATGTTGATGAGCTATAAGCCTCACTCGCCCTGGGAGGTAGCGGTTCCTCTCTGAAACCGTTTCGAAAACATGTCCGTCCATCCTACCGGTGTTACTCGCGCCCAGCACGATCGTTCCATAACGCAACACTGCAGACTCCAGACGCACTCGTAGCAGTGCATACAAACACCCATCCAGCAAAACGGACTGCTCCATAACCTCACGACTGCAACGCAGACAAGACACCATGCATCCCTTAAGCCTGAGAGACAGAAGCGTAGCCTATCCGACTCTCCGGGCGAGACCCACAAACAAACCGCATCCCATCCTACTATCTCACAGCTCACTCTCCATGTAGCCTCATTATCCACGGTCAGGATGCTCCCGCCAGATCTCTCATTTCCCAGTTGACGTGTATATCCGATGACGTAGCGATGTATGGAAAAGATCGCGCCATGCGATAAGCGAAATGTCACTTCCAGCTCTCGGAGCTCATGTTGTCATTGTCATCGATCGCAGTCGTAGCGCGGACACACCGGACGAAATATCGAACACATCAAGATAGTTGCCGCCGGAAGCATGGCTCATGAGCAAGATTCCTATAAGGTTAGCCAAGATAGACACCCCATTCATCCCAGCGAGAAGTCCATTCTCCTCCACCCTACCAATGCCCACCACTCGCCGGAAAACAAGACGGCGACGCTGATCCAAGATCACTGGAGCATCGCATCACGGACAGGGCAACTCATCATAGATCATCCTTCACTCACAGACCTGACCAGACCTGACCACTGTCAACATTAAGACACAGACAGAACCCTTGACGTCAGTCCGCGCATACCCCACAGAGCCACCCCAGATCCATCCTGATCCCAACAAGAAAACCAAGCTCTTGACCCATGACCATAACCATGTAGATCAACAAACCCAGTAACTCACCAGCAGCAAGAGAAGAACACAACAAGTCGGATAATCCCCTCCGCCTTTGGTGGAAGATTTAGATTGCTGATATGCGCCGGTTATGGTTCTTTTGTCACGCCATCCTCACCTGACGTGGACCGTTAGAGTCACGAGACACAACCCCCCCGGCTGGAAAATCCCGTTGATCTTTGAAAGACTTGACCAGGATGATGATGGGTATTCGCGGGGGGGGGCAAGCAAAGAAGGTGAAAAGAGACTGGATCTTGGTTTGGAGAAAACCAACCCTGAATCTCTATCAAACTCTCCCCCTGTCTTGTTCTAGCAGGTTTGGCTGGGACTGGGCACCAAGATGCCGAAAGTCGCATATCGATCTCCCGAGCAAAGAGACGGAGCGAACAGCTGACGTGCAAAGATCAAAGGTTTTCTTTTCTTTTCTTTTTCTCTTCCTGGATTGCGCTGAGTCGCTTGCATGTAAGCATTCTCCGGAGCGAATGAGATAGCATGCCGAAATCGGAAGCGTAGCATGTCTACTAACCTTCAAGGTGCGTACCTAGTACAGGTAGTGCACATCCAATCCGCGTGCGAAGCGCCGGAATATACGGTGAGCGGAAAGGACTGAGTCAGTGGTGGTGTACCATTCGTCCCATCTTGCTGGCCGGCTGATGGGCAGCTACCTTCTCCTCCACTGTTGCGATGAGATACTGTCGGTTATCTTGGAAGCCATCTATATTCAGAACAAAAGGGATGGCAAGAGATACAAATGAGACTCATTTGATGTAGGCATGTGAGGTCTTGAGGTACGTTTACGTACTGGTGAGGGCGAGGGGAGGGTGGTGTATTCTACGTATGTACAGGTACTTCGAAGCCGAGAAGGCGCCTCAATGCAGCCCGGGTGCTGGAAGTATCTGAATCTGATGGTCACCTAGGAGCCGTATCGTAGCTAGGTACTCTCTTTCCTGCAGCCCAACTCATCCAGCCACTCAAGACCACCACCGTTTACTCACCCTCCTCCTCCAGCGCCAGTCTTCATCTCAAACGTCGCATACAGCCCACACAAAACGTCAGCGCTGAACAACTACATCAAACCCGAGCACTCAAGAGAGACGCGCAAATCCATCACGGAGGGAGCGGAGAAACGCCCCCCCCGGGGGTTTCCAGATTAGGGAAGAAAAGAATAATGCCGCAATCCTTTTCCACCTCCCTCTAATCCTCCTGCTCATATGTGCTGGTGCAGCATGTATACTGGTCTCGATGGTAGCATTACTGGAAAGAGTCTATCCCCGATATGCGGCCTTCTCCGGAAACATACCTGAAGTCCTAGAAAGTTTTAACCACAAGGGAACTAAAGGCAGAAATCGCGCAGCACCCATAGCACCCTATCACAATGAAAGGGCTTCATCTCTCCTTGTCCTGCCCCCCGCCTTCCCCATTCGTATGGAATTTTTTTATTAGGGTAAAACCGGGCCGTTTCACCATGGACGGCCACTTGTCTCTATTGGGGTATGCTCGACTGCATGTCCGTTGTTGAGGGCTGTGGGTGGACCGGGGGTCCTTACGTGTTCTGCATCTCGATGGCCGATGATAGGAGGGTCGTTGGGAAGAGTGGGAGGACAAATGCTTAATCAGTCAAGGTGTAGAACCCGATGTTGTTGGCCCGACTGTCTATCTTTGCTTTTGCTTTTTCGTTTATTCTTCGATGCTGGTCTCAATACTAGGTAGATTGGCCATAGCTTCATATTGCTGCAGACAACCAAGCTATGCTTCTGGGCGGGGAGGAGGGTCTAAATCGTCCAGGCGTGTTTTGTCTTCTTCCTCTGGTTTTTTTTTCTCTCTTTCTTTCTTTTTTCTAATTTTATTTTATTTTCCCTCGCTGCTTCTCTCCTGCCCAATCCCGATTGGTTGGGAGCGCATTGCAGACGAGTGGGCTTGTCGACCATAAGGCAGCCAGGGTAGTATCAATCTACTAGTAGACCACAATCAGTTTAGCGGTGTCAATCCGCTTTTCTCCATCTAGACTGCCACGAGACCACGCTGTGGCTTTTCTCCACCGTCGACGGCGACACCAAGAGTGGATTCCTCATCGGCTCCAAATTAAACCGATCCGTGTTCTTCGGGGACTTTCTGATGAGCAGCGGATCACGAGCAATCTATCTACAGTGATCTCTGAGAAGAAATAAAGGAGAAAAGACCCTGAGCCTCCGGAGGGGCAGTGGATGGTGGATAAACACCGCGTAGTACGATGAACGTTCAGCATGGAGCCTGCACGAAGCCTCAGGATGGATTCGGGTGGCGCTCGACCGTTTCGGAAAGGAGGGGGGAAAAAGCGTCTCTTTCCGAGATGCACCCACAGGTACAGTGCGTAGACTACTGGGCTGGGCACTGGGCAAGGCAACGGTCGTGATTCAAGGAACACCTGGAGGAATCCATTGAGGTAAAGGCGATCTAATTGTCTTCTGATTGGAGGAGGGAACCCTACTCGGACAATGGCGTTCCTTGACTGTTGGGCGATTGGCACAGACCTGAAAAACCGGCGGTGACTGGGTAGGGTAGGGTAGGGTAAGGTAGAGAGTAGGGGTAGGGTTCAGGCAGGAACAATTCCGAACTAATGGATAAAGCCGTCATTGGGACTTGACAGCCTTGCGCTCACTGGCTTGGAGACTGGGAAGGGTCTAGCCTGACCGAGGTATTGTTGCGGCGCATTTGAACAGTGGTACTGTACTCTCCAGTCACGGTCTATAACTGGGCAAGTACGGAGTACTGGACGTACCTATTGTCGGTCGGGTGGGCCACCAGGGAGGCTGTCATTGGAGTATTAGGAAATTCTTCAGTCTCGGAGAATTTCGTTTCGCATGGCCTAGCTGCCATCATTTAACTCAACTCGCATGTCTTAGGTCCCTGCAGGAGCCAAAACACCTGTAACTTACAGGTGCCAACTAAAGTGCGTCCGTCTATCAACGCTATGGCAGTTGGACCGTGTCCAGAGCGGAGGCAGCGAAAGAGAGCAAAAGAGCAAAAGAGCGAAAGAGGAAGAGAGGGAGAGAGGGAGAGAGGGGGAATAGATCGACGAGGGGACCAATGAGAAATGAATCCGGTCAAAGTGCCTACGCAGTGTCGTGCCAAGTGTGATGATCAGATAAAGATAGGGAGAACTGGTTGGCCTCAAGAGATAGATTGAGGCGAACCGGTTTCAAGTTAAGCAAGGGAGGACGTGGGAAAATGTGTGGGATTGTGGATGATGTGGATGATGTGGATGATGTGGAAGGAGTGGAAGAAGAGGAAGCGGCGACACTTACTCTCACTGCAGAGCACACACACACACACACACACACACACACAATGCCACTAGACTAAGGTGGGATCAGCACAGCTTCGCTTACGTGTATATCCGCTGCCCGATCCCGCTAGCGACGCAGAAATGGACCAAAAGAGAAATATCCACGCTTCCCTCCGCCAGTACCTGGCATCTATCCTTGGGGCTCATGATTATCATGCTCAATTCAGTAAATGGGGTCCAGCATTGTTTGGTTGATGAGCAAGACGATACCATATATTGCTCAAGTGCCTCCTGAGTCCTGACGTTCTTGTAGTGGCGGAAGAGGAGTACAGTAACTTAGGAGTGAGTATAGTAGTGTAGACGTTGTCCCGGGAGTTTCTATGGTCTCCCGTACTGTGGATCTAAAAATAGTAAAGCACACAGTGGCATCATCGGAGCCACCACCATCACCACCACCGCTGTCGTTACTGAGACCTCCAAAGCGTGCGTACGTACCTCTCGCTCCATCGCCAGTAGCAGGGCCCTCAGCTCGGTTCCAGCTTATGATCGCAAAACAGACTAAGGATGGATCCGACCGACTCATCCATGACTATTGCCAGAGATGATGATTAGGGAGGTTTCAGAAGGACCCTGAGCAATTGCCGGTGAATACGGTCCTAATCTACCCCAACCCGCCCTTTGAGGAACAATGCCTCCAGTCGTCTACTGTACAGTCTCCATACACCTGCAGCTTCTGATAGATATATGTACCCTTTCTACGGAGCAACACTCCGCAGGGGTCGCGCTTGTTTTGTCCTGTGGAAACCAGATCTGATCGCTAGTGTGAACTGGCACAGTGTCGCTCCAATCTCGACTCCATCGTGATATGCAGATATCCTGCACTACCCTGGTCTGTCATCCTGGCTTGATGCAAGTCTGATTCCTTACCGACCACGGCCGTCAGCCCAGTCCGGCCCAGCCCACTGGCCACACTAGAAGAATGCAGATATGATCCTTAATCAAACCGGGGGCCAAAAAGGGGCCCACCGCCTTGTGACAGATCTGGTCTGCCCACCGACAGGAGCGGAGTCTATTTCCTGCAACAGTAGGGGGAGGCTATCCTGACACTCCGAAGTAGTAACGATGGGGAGCATTGAGACATGGAAAAACCGATGCGATGGGGGGGGGGGGGCGAGAGCATTTGCTAAATATCACCTAGTTCTGTTGGAAGGAGGAAATTATGGTGCGGATTTCGAGCGACAATGGGAGAATGGGAAATTGGAGAAAAGAAAGAGGCGTCGGAGGAGAAACCAGAAACGAAAACGAGACTAAGGATGAATCTACCCATCTGCCCACCATCTGCTCATCCTCATTAACGGACAGCAACCGAAAGCACCAGTGGGAGAGCCGGAAAGGTGGCAGCCAGGATGACGGAGAAAATGATGGGATCATTGGGATGGGATGAAGAGGGTGGCTCACCAATCAACGGGGTAAAGGCCCCCAGTTGATGACGAGTCCCGACCTCCAGAAGGGCTTCGAGAAGCTCAGCAAACTTCGAGGCCTGTGTTTCATGTCCACGCTAATCCCACCTGGGTTAAGGTGGGATAAGGTGGTCACCGCCAAGTCATGCCTCTAAAGGGCAAGTCCCTGAGAGCTACGCTCCAGGCTGCACCACTGCACTGCACTGCACTGCACTGCACTAGAGCACCTCCAGGGCATAACTCTGTGATTGGGTTCGTCAAAGAGATTTCAAGTTGCTGCCCCACCTCCAAACCCACCCATTTGGCTATCCAATGGAACGCTTTATCCTCAACCCTGGGTCCCAACGAGGGAGTTAAATTTAAAACCACGCTCAATGGGCAAGACCCGGGATCCAGATTCCCCAGTTCTTCACATCATGAATTCATTGACAGCTGAGGTCGCGGATAACTCATGCTATGCACACTGTACTCTGTAAGTTATCGACTGAGTGACCTTTTTCTCTTCTCTTCTCCTCTGTTCTCGGCTCTCTCTCTCTCTCTCCCTTTCTCTTTCTGTCGCGCTCTCAGCGATCTATCATCTTCTCCTTTCCCTATCTCTCATCCAGTAGGTCAGCAAGGCCAAGATCCCCATCACCTACCTATGCTCGTCATGAGGTGTTCCCAAGAGCCCCAGGGCTTATCCTTCCACCTTCTCCCCTCCCCACTTTCTGTCGCTCCTCTTTTTGACTCGTTTTCCCATCTCTTACTTTCATCTCCACCTCTCACTAAGCCTCTTCCGGCTGTCTGTCACAGCTTCCGTCTCCTTGTGACCACGGGTGCGTGTGGTTTGGGATGAACCAGCTGGAGAGAGGCAGAGGGTCAGGGGTAAAACGGTCTTCTGCCATCATTCGACTTCAATGGTATGATCGGTCGTCCCTGATCCTGCCACAGGGGAGGAGGAATCAGCTTCCCAGCATCACTATCGGGACCTGCACACACCTGCAGTCATCATCGGATATGTCCCTGGCTAATCTACACACCTCCGACGCCAGGAACCAGATGTTGAACCCTGTCGCTCCCTATCATTCCTTCTCCTGATCCAATCTGGGAATCAGTTAGGTACAATCCACCGCCACATTCCGGGCCACTGTAATGATCCCTGTCGCCCGCTGAAGTAACTGTAGTCGGATGAACGCGTTCGATCGGGCAAAGCGTCGAGGCTGATTGCTGATCAGAGGTTGCTGGAGGAGCTGACTGCTTGCTGCCCCAGTCGGAATCTCCGATGGGGAGGCGAAAAGTGCCAGTGAGGTAAGCATCATCACCATCATCATAATCATTATTCATCGTGGTGGTGGTTGGTAGTGTCGTAGTAGTCTCTTCGTACCTAGACTAGTTTTGCAAGGAACACGATGCGAAAAGTAAAACACTCGAGGAAGGTGTTTCACCCTGGAGTTAGCATAGGATGCCCACCCGAGGCCAGGTTTAGTCCTCTTGTTCCATGGCTTTGCTTCAGCACTGACAGTACCTTATTAGCGATCTCACACAAGATTGGGTAATGGATATTGTGTGCGAATAAAACCGCTCATTTTAGGTTACTTTGCTACTCAGTACTTCGTCATCTTCTGCCTTTTCCCCCTCTCTCCTTTAGTGAGCACTGAGCAAGTAGGTATCTGGAACTACAGTACGTATGTACGTATCTGCGACTGAGTGATTATGATGTTGATTTTCTCCCTACCCACCCTGATCTTTTTCCCATTCTTCACGTTAGTTCGAGTTGGGACGAAAATAAGAATCGCAGATATTATTTTTTTTTTGTTTTACTTCGTTTTTTTTCTTTTTTTCTATGAATTTTTTCCCCTTGTACTTTTCCTTTTCTTTTAATTTTTCCCCTTCCCACTGACTGTCGGTTCATCATAAACTTTCGACACTCTGATGCGATTGTCCTAATAGTGTTTCCTGTTATTCACATTTTATACTTTTACCTTGTGTTTTGGCTTTCAACACCCCTTTTCCTTGGGTATCTGCCCTATCGTTCACTCTGGCATCGATCGAGAATACCCTCTCTACAGAGACCAGCCAGATCCTCTGCATTGTCGGCACTTCAGCTGGCTGAACCTTAGCAGAGGAGTTAGAAGACCAAGCGAAACGAGCTCTCCCAGAAGGGAAAGTGATCCTAAGCAATCGCAGGAAATAAAATCAACCAGATAAATTAAAAGTCCCGAGATCCATCCTAGATCCCGAGCGAAACCACGATACTACGACTCCTACGGAGGGAGTTCTCCGTATTTCCTCTGGACTGTTTTGCTTGACTACTATTACTCCTACTACACTGACTTACTTCACTTGACTTCGCTTCATCATTCACACCACTCCTACTACTACGACTACTACCACTTTGCGACTGGCCGATTCAACTTCCACCACTCTCTTTCCTTCTTTCCTTCTGTCCCTCTTCCTCTCCCTCTCTCTCTCTCCCTCTCTCACTTTCTTCCTCTCTTCACCTCCTTCTCCTCCTCTTTCTTATTCCCCTCGTCTTAATCCTTTCACCCCTCACCGTTTCTCTCTCCTCCCCCCCCCTCTTCCTCCCCGCTCTGGGGTTAATTATCCCATCCTTCATTATCACCACTAATCATCCCGCACGATCAACTATTTTTCATCAACTGACATCTTTCACCCCCCGTGTCTCCTGCCTCACTTCGTTCCTTACACTTCTTTGATTACCTGCAGCTCCAGTGTTCCATCCAGACTACATACTTTAATTATTTTAATATTTCAGGGCGGATCCCTGGTTCCCTCCGCCATCTCAATTTATCTGGGCTGGGCCGAAATTTATCCTTTGCGACACCCTCCTTCCTTCCCCCCCCCGCTAATACATTGCGACAAGGAAGCTTGGCCAAAAATCGGTGGACAATAATCTCGAAGACTACGAATCTTAATCCAGGTCTCACTTGTGGTGCTTGCGCCCCGGTCCGCTCAAGTCGCGTGAAACCGACCCTGTCTCTCTCCTGGACTGTGGTTTTGTGGTTGTGTGGTTCTGTGTGTGTGGGTGTGGCATTAGACGGTGCCTGCTGCGGACAAAGTGTGGAGTCCCACTGCTGAAACGAGGCCATTCGCAATACGTACCACGATAACAACCGTGATCACCGTTAGACTCCCATCTCGCCTCCCCCACCCACTCCTGGCTTTTCTTGCGACAAATTCACTTCCAGTGTCTGTCGCATTGACTTGACGCCTGCTTATCGAGACTCCAACAATCTGTTACACCTCTATATCCTCTTCGCGCGTCGGGGATCTACTTCCGCCATCTCACTTGACTCCACCATCTCGACCTTCGGCTCTCTGCGATTAATGCAGCTACTGCCTCAGATCTCCATCGTACCGTCTATCTACCTTTGCTGGGGCTATGCCCGCACTCGTTCAGAACATCAACCCCTCTCCGATACCACAAGGCGCGATCATGGAATCATCCGCTGCAGATAAGAAACGCAACAAGCTTGGATATCATCGTACCTCTGTCGCATGCGGTAAGCTCAGCTCTCCTCCACCTTCTGTGTGTCCATCAAAGCCGTTGAACTCATCACCATCCAAGTGCACTGTCGACGACGGAAAATCCGATGCCTTCTCGCCGCGGATGATACTCAGGGACGATGCGAGAACTGCATCCGACTGCGAAAAGAGTGCCAATTCTTTCCCGTTGACCAGCAGCCTCCCATCGAGAAGAAATCACGCCCGAGTTCCCGATTGGAAACGGCATCGACAGATCCCTCGACAGCCTCGTCATCGCCTCCAACTCTCACTGGCGACCAAACAGAAGCTTACTTCCCTTACCAATCAATGGCACTGGGTGCGAACCCAGACGTAGCGGGGTTCAACGCCGCTGTCTTCCCCGGCAATCCGATGGCGACTTTTGCTCCTGGTTTGTGGATCTCTCGTGAAGGGGTGGGTCGATGAACTAACGCACTTACAGAGCGCAGTGTTCCTTCTTCTGAATTCGCGCCGCATCCGTCTATCGACTCGTCTACTGTCGCCTGGGATGAGTTTACAACGATCCCCGATCAACAAATGCTAGCGTCCATGGCCGCGGGCAAGAACATGATGAACGTACCTGCCAATGTCTGGGCGCCTGCGCCGGGTCAAATGGCCCCAATGCCGACCGCGTCCCCTTTACCGGCCACCCCGACAGTCCCGTCGCAAAACCCAGCGCTCAATGCTGCACCCACGTACGCAATGCAACCCGATGGATCGGTGTGGCAGGTTGCTCCCGCGCGATCAATGACGTTCCCTGCGCAACCGACCGACATGACTGCGCCTTATCCCAACCCTGCTCAATTTATGCAGCCGCTCCCCGCGGATCTCAAACGCAGAATGACCAGCCCGGCGCAGTCGTTCCCGGGCGTTCCGACGAACCCCCAGAGTCCTCCTTCCGCCGATCTTCAAGGGACACCGGTATCTGTGTCCTACCCTGGCCAGCCAGGGACGATGGGATATCCTGGTTGGCAGGATGTCAACGCCATGTCTCCCATGAGCGTGGTGCAGTACCCTATGTACGCTGGCGATCCTGTGCAACAAGCCGGCTTTGGTAGTCCTCCGCCGATGGGACATCCAGGTCCAGGACAATCCCCGCAATGACGAAGCAGCCGATGATGGGCAATTACGAAACATTCCCAACCAGAACTTTCCAAACTCTACAGTGGCATAATACCCCGGGCGACGCATTGCATACTTTTCGTTTCTTCTCCGTCTGATACCAACCATGCATACAGCTTTACAATACCAGGCTGCTTGTTAGCGGGCGCATAGGATCTTGGGCGGTACATTTATTTCGATTCGACCCACGAGACCCCATTTTCTTCTATTTGACGATTGTTTCTCCCCTGTCCTCCTTGCTGCTGGACAGAAGTTTCATCTACTTACCATTTTCCCCCACCTCAGCTTCCTCTTCGAGTGTTCATATTTAGCGTTGGATATCCATGGCGTGCGTCACGAGCTATGTGTTAAGTCACCAGCGGGACGGGTGTCTGATTATCTTTTGATATTTTGTTGTCTGTTTGCTTTCGGCGTTCAGTGGATCTTGGGCTCAGCCGTCTTGGACCCGGATCGGTGGGTTGGGATCTGTCAGGACGGGATGACCGATAGACTGTTGTTCGACATGAAGATCATGGAACATAGAGGCGTCCTACCATTCTGCACCGGCTCGACATACTACCTAGCCACTTACTTTGTTCGTGTTGTTGTTTTCTTCCGTTTTGGTTTTGATTCCCCGAATAGATGGATTGGGTGGCTGGCTGGCTGGTTGAGGGCAGAGGGGTTTACTGTATTTGACTCGCGGGCATTTAGACTAATGTTGATACGTTCTTCTTGTGCATGGGTATACTGTAGACTGAGGCAAGTGATGTTTGATATGAGAATTGACTCTACTTCCCAGTATCCAGTATCCCGGTTATGACCTCCATCCTCCTCTTCTCACTTTGGCCTCTGTAGGTTGAGACAACGAGAAAGCATAGATACCTCCACAAACCAGCCTCGAAAAGACAACCACAGGGGATAGAGAACGTGAGAAAGGAGAGACAGGAGAATTAGGGTGATTCTAGAAAGTGTACGCACCCATCGCCAGTCGTCTGCGTGGTACTGCACTCGCCCCAGTCCCATTTCTGTCGAACTCCCACCTCTTGCAGATCACGACAAAAATGAGTGCAAGCAATTTGGCCGAAAGAAGACTTCAAGCCATCTGCATTTCAGATACCGGCGGAAAGTCTTCGCCTCCTTCGCAGGCATATTCCCCCGCGGACCACGGAGGAAAACAAAGTACATAACTTCAAGGCAGTGATGGTACAGTCCCCCCTGCAGGGGAATATTCTTTTCGTCTGTTGTACGATGCCTGGATCCTAACAATGAAAGGGATGGCTACCTAACTGGAACAATGGAAGCGCAAATCCCAGAGGGGAGCGAGTTAGATGATACCAGGTAGGAACCGTATAGAAGGTATAAAACAGGACAAACACCGACGACACGTGCCCGTCAGTTCCAGGTAAGCCATCAAAGCAGTGACCGTACCTTCGCCTTCCATCATTTCCATCATTTCCACACCTACACCATCGCCAGAAACCTCCTTCATCGAACCAGACACAAGCACAAGAGACAAACCCTCAGATCATATTCATAATCATATTCATTAACATCCTCATCATCCTCCCCCATCAAAACCAATAAGACCTACACATCCACCAACTCCTCCAGCGTCGCCTCTAGAAACGCTCGCTGCTCCCCCAACGCCCCCCGAATCGCATCGACATCGAAGCAGCGCCGCGCGTGCTGCTCCCGCAGCCTCTTCAGCTGCACGCGCAGCCGCTCCTCCAGGTTCTCCATCCGGTACAGCGCATACTGGCTGTACAGCTCGGGCAGCTCGCTGATGCCCCGCAGACTGGTCAGCACGGTCTCGTCCTTGACAAGGGGGTTCCGGGGCCGGAACGCGGTCACCATGCTGATGCGCTCGCGGCCGCCGATGGCCTTCAGCGCTTGGTGCTCGATGTACCGGCCTTGCATTACGACGGCTGTGCCCTATCCCGGAATGAAGGTTAGCAAGGGGTTGGGGAGAAATGAGGAGAGGGTTAAAGAGATAGATGCATTGATTGGGACAGGTGATAGTTAAGGGGGGGGGGGGGGGAGCGAGAGCAGCGACGCACCATCAGCGGTCCCCGGAATTTCAACACCTCCCCGTTGGCCGTCTTCACGGCGGTCTCGCCGCCGACCATCCCTTCGCAGTCGGAGAGCATCGTCACACATACGAAGGGGTAGCTGTCGTGGTGCCAGGCGAAGGCGGGCACGCTGTCATCATCGTCGTCTGAGTCGGCGGTGGAGGACTTTGTCGACTCGACGACGGCGTCGTTGACAGAGACGTTAACGTGGCCTACGTCGACGTCCATCGCGGGCACGAGCTCGATCCCCGCGACGCGGGAGATGGTGGCCAGGAGCTCGGGGCTGTGCCAGGCGTTGAAGATGAAGGGGGCTCGTCTTGCAACTCGGCTTAGCCTCTTTCTCAGGGGTTGACAAATTTCACACCAAAGGATTCTTACTGTGGCCCGTATCCTCGGATCATGTTCGTCGCAAAGCTGGAGGCATACTGGCAGTCACGGAGCACAGGCTCGCTGAAGATTTCAGCTCGGATCTGCTGAACCGCTTCTGGCGTGAAGAGGGGGAAGGGCTCCGAGAGTGCAGTCGGCGAGATCCCCGCGCCTTCGAAGCCCAGGTCCTTCATCATGAAGACCTTTCCGGGTGTGGCAGTCGCCAGGTGCTTGGTGGCGTCGAAGTCCACTTTTTCGACGGCGCGCGCTCGCTCGATGATGGACTCGGGAATCTGTTTAGTGGGTCGTGTGGCGCGCAAGGTGGTTGAGGCGACCACGGTGGGTGGCGCGACGGGAGCCTGGATGGCAATGGGGGCTTGCACGGCGGCGGCGGCCATGATGAGTATCGATGTTGGAGGCTTTTGGTGATTGAGAGTGGAGATGGATCTGTCGTTGATGTTGTCGATGGTCCATGATTGAAGAGGCCTTTATACCAGCATCACCACTCTGTGCTCACCAGTATATCCCACCACGACGTGGAAGATAGTCCACAAACGTTCAACAATCCGCTGTGGTCTAAGTGGAGGATATACATGTTCGATGGATGTATACTCTGGACCAGACGGCGCGTGGGAGTACCGAAAAAGGATAGGAATCCGGGGCTCCATGCCTCAGGAGGCAAACAATCCTCGCTCGAATCAAGAGAGAGCTCGCGATGCATGAGTAATTGATCATCCGATCTCTGTCCGACTGGCTAACGAGTATAAGATACATCCGCAGGGCTGCCCTCCAGCTGAAAATCGTGTGCTGACGACCGAAATCTCTGCAAGGCCCTGACAGCTGTGGTCCTGTCTCCTTTGCCAATCCCTCGCCGGTGACGACACGCCACATGAACAAGGACCAATACTGGGCTCCAGCGACACATTCTTATCTCGCACTACGTGAGGGGCCAATTATGTCTGCTTACTCGGTATCTTAGTCTGCTCTGGGCCTGATAAGAGGCCTCGATAACCCTCACGATCGATGCTTTGAGCGCACAGTGTGGCAAAAACATTGACAGCAGTCCATCAATGGCCAATGAACTCCAGCTCAAGCCCGATATGCTTATTCCATGACAGTGCACATCGGGATCAGCCTGGAAGAGATTGCTCGCTTTGGTGTTTCGTTGCGATTCATGACAGATTGAAATTGGATTCCCCGGCCGGGTAGAGATAAGCTAGCGCTATAAAGGGCTTTGTACCCCATACAATACGTACCTGTACGGATTCCCCCAACCTGTCATTTTCAACCGTCCCCGCCCACCATGACACCCCCCATGCAACATCGTCCTGTAGACGAGGAGAAAGGCAAATCGGCCGCCCAAAGCGACGTGTATGCTACCGTTTCCGACGTTGAACCCGGATCCATTATCCCGCCAGATGCCCATGGATTACAGCGTCGCCTGGATAACCGACAGATTCAGCTGATTGCGATTGGGGGCTCGATTGGGACTGCGGTGTTCGTGAGCATCGGCACCGCCCTCACCAAATCCGGCCCGGGCAGTCTCCTGCTCGCGTACATCATCTACAGCTGCATGCTCTCGCTGGTGAACAACTGCATTGCCGAGATGTCCACGTACATGCCCGTTGGAGGGGGATTTATCCGTCTGGCCGGCCGGTGGGTGGACGACGCCTTCGGGTTCATGGCCGGGTGGAACTTCTTCTTCTACGAAGCGCTGCTAATCCCCTTTGAAATCACGGCGCTGACCGAGGTGCTGGCTTTCTGGAGCGATCATATCCCCACCGCGGCCATCTGCGTGGCGTGTATTGTACTATATGCGTAAGCCACTTCCTTCCCATACGCGACCCCCTGATTAGGAAACACAAAAGCCCTCAGAAGACTCGCCTTACTCACATCTCCTTCGCAGGTCCCTTAACGTCCTCGCAGTCCGAGCCTACGGAGAGGCGGAATTCTGGCTCTCCGGCGGCAAGGTGATCCTGTTTTTTGTCTTGTTTCTGTTCACCTTCATCACCATGGTGGGCGGCAACCCGCAGGGCGATGCGTACGGGTTCCGCTACTGGAATACCCCGGGCGCGTTCGCAACGCATCTGGCGACGGGGGCGCTGGGCCGGTTCGAAGGGTTTCTGGCGGCGCTGTGGGCGGCGTCATTCGCCTGCGTGGGACCGGAGTACATCTCGATGGTGGCGGCGGAGAGCAAGCACCCGCGGCGGTACATCAAGAACGCGTTCAAGACAGTGTACTGGCGGTTCGGGGTGTTCTTCATCGGGAGCGCGCTCTGCGTCGGGGTGGTGGTGGCGTACAACGACGCAAACCTGGTGGCGATCACGACGGGGGCGTCGGCGGGGGCGGGGTCGGCGTCGGCGTCGCCGTACGTGATCGCCATGGGCAACCTGGGGGTCAGCGTGCTGCCGCACATCGTCAACGCGCTGCTCGTGACCAGCATCTTCTCGGCGGGCAACACGTACACCTACACGGCGACGCGGGTGCTGCACGGCCTGGCCGTCGAGGGCCGCGCCCCGCGCATCTTCCGGCGCTGCACGCGCCACGGCGTCCCCATCTACTGCTTCGGCGTCGTGATGCTGTTCCCTTTCTTGTCCTTCCTGCAGCTCTCCAACAACACCGCCACTGTGCTGAGCTGGATCATCAACCTGACCACCTCCGCCGGCGTGATTAACTACATCGTCATGACCACGACGTACATCTGCTTCTACCGCGCGTGTCAGGCCCAGGGCTTCGATCGCGCCCAGCTGCCCTATCGCGGATGGTTCCAGCCCTGGAGCGCGTACATCGGCTTGGTCTGGATGGTCTGTGTCGTGACGTGCTACGGCTACAGCAGCTTCATGCCCTGGAGCGCGGCGGACTTTGTCACCTACTATACGATGGTGATCGTGGCGCCCGCGCTGTTCCTGGGGTGGAAGTTGTTGAAGCAGACCAAGTTCGTCCGGCCGGAGGAGGCGGATCTGGTCTGGGAGGCGCCGGCCATTACGGCGTATGAGGCGGAGTTGGAGGTCACGCAGCCCGCGGTGGGATTCTGGGAGGAGATGCTGCAGTCTCTGCGGGGGCTTTTGGTCTGGAAGGACAAGATAAGTGAGTGATCCAAATCAGGAATGAAAACCCAGCCGAAGGCTGTTTGAAAAGTGCAGTGCCGTGCAGTACAGCTGGAAATGCGGGGTAAAATCGGCCGCTTATTTTTAGCTTGCCTTGTTGGAGTACTGTACATCTGTAGATAGCGATAGCAAATCCCACCAAAAGCGACAATCCTCCATCACGCCTTATCTAGGCTACTAGACTAGTGACTAGTGATATCACACATAACACCCCACCCCTCCACAGCCAAAGCACAATAAAGGCGAGAGGGGCGGGGGGGATTCCTTTCCCTATATGTCTTAACACGAGAAACTCTCCTGGGCTCCTTCGCCTCCCTTCCCTTTCTCCCCCCTCCCCCCCAAGCATCTACAATCAACCAACCCGAATCGAATAAGCAAATGGAAATCACAAACCCCGACTTACCACCAAATTGGCCAACGCAAACACAGATACAACCACCCTCAAAAGGGAAAAATAAACGCCGAGCTCCGAAATCCCGCACGGGATGTGAGAGTTGTAAGAAGCGACGGGTGCGTTCTCGCCTTTTTTCTTTTTTGCTTCTTTTTTCTTTTTGCCTGGCAGGTGCATGAGGGATGGTACTGGATGCTGAGGGGGAATACAGCGACGATGCGATGAGAGCAAGCCTGCTTGTTATGAGTGTCAGCGGCGGGGGCAGACGTGTCCCGGGTATACTCGGCCGTTTATACGGTGGGGGGATGAGGGGGAAAAGAGGAGGAAGAGGGTTGCTGGGGCTGGGGAAATTGGGAGGGGGGATGGGGCTGTGGCTGTGACTATGGCTACGACTTTGCCTCTGGCTGAGGATGAGGATGACTTTGGGGACTCTGGTCCGGGGACGCAGGGCGAGAGACTTCCTTTGACTGGAGAGCTGGAGGGAGAAGAAGAAGAAGGGATTGATGCTCAGGCGAACCCCGTTGACTTGGATATCGGGCTTCTCACGGAGATGGACGGAGGTAGTCTGGCTGACCTTCTACCGGCACCAACTCCTCAGGCGCTGCACAATGCCCTCGCTCTACCAGGCCTGTCGTCTGCCGGCACCCCAAACCAGATAGACAACCTGGAGAATCTCCGGCGACGACTCACAGACACCTCCATACCCTCATTCCTCGTGCACCTCCCCGCCCTGCTGGTGGAATACTACTTTGACTACGTCTGCGCCATGTGGTCGTCGTTCGACTCGGACCTCAACCCCTTCCGCACCAACATCGCGCGCCTCTGGAGCCAGAACGCCCCCATCTACTACGCCATCCAGAGCATGGCCGCCGCCTCGCTGGCCGGCGACTTTCCCGGCATGCGCGCCGTGGGCGCCCAGATGCAGCGGCGGGCCATCCACGCCCTGCAGGAGGCGATGGCGGTGTCGCCGACGCTGAACGACGAGAATCTATTCTACGGCCTGTTGATGGTCGGGTCGACCACCGCGTGGCACAACGGGGGCGACCTGGGGTTGTCCTATCTCCAGGCCGCGCGGCGGTTCCTCGTGCGACAGAGCCGGAGCCACGGACACAAATCTCCCACATCATCCTCGAATTCGGAGGTCCTCACCCAACAGTATCCATTTTTCAAGCAGTGTCTATTATACTGGAACATGCTAGCCGCGTTCGTCGCGCAGGATATCTCGGATGTCGGGGCTGCTGACAGCGACGGCGACAGCGACCACCACCTACCGATCTACGTGGTCAACGGCCAACCCCTTCTACACCCGTGGACGGGGCCTCTCCCCACTGCTCTGCAGTATTTCTATCAGATCGCACGCCTCATTCGGTCTGCGCGCCACGCGCCACCCATCAGCCTGACCACTTCCCCAGAAACCCAGCAAACAAACCCACTCCCCTACGACGACGCCATCCACTCAACTCCCCACGCGAAAGCCCAAACCCTCGAAACCGAGCTCCTCACCTTCGACGTCGATGGCATAGGCCACCACCTCCCGACAGGCGACACCAACACCCCGTCGAACCACTTCACCATCCTCGCCGACGCCTACCGCTGCGTCGCCCTGCTGCAGATCTACCACGCCTTCCCGGCCATCCTCGTCTCGAGACTCCACTCTCAGCAAGACGTCCACATACCCGAGCATCTGGCTCTGCCCATCCTCTCCTCGGGAATGACCCCCCGCCAATTCCGACGGCACCTCGCCCTCCACATCATCGCCTTACTAGAAACCCTCCCCGTCACCTCAGGGACGAGGGTAATGCAGCCCGTCCTCCTGGCCGCGACGGCGGGGAGTCTGGTTTTCTCGAGAGGAACACCGCTAGGCGTGGCGGCGGACGCGTGGGCGCCGTTCGACGCCGTGGATGTGGAGATTGCGCAGGCGCGGCGGCGCGTGAGCGCGCGGCTGGCGGATCTCACGCGGATTCTGCCGCGGCCGCCGCTGGAGCGGGTGGGGGATTTGGTGCGCGAGGTGTGGAGGCGGGCGGATGATGCGGGTGCTTGTGGGGGGGAGGAGGGGGGTGGAGGTCAGGAGGATCCGGAGGAGGCTTTTTGGTTAGATGTTATGATGGAGAGAAGGTTGGAGACTATTATGGGGTAGCATGTCTGCTTGGCTCTTGGATGGGAAGTGGGGATGTTGTGGAGGGCACTGCTATGGGTTAGTGGAGATAGGGATAGATTGTGAGGGGGGTGGCGTGGCGATATGATGAATGATCCTTAGGGTAGAATTTCTACAGTAGACTGTACTGTACTCACTTCTGTGAGGATCTTGGGTCTATAAACTGCCCCTCAGATGATGTGACGACCCCCAAAGCACTGTACTTCAAACATACCCCTTGACAAAGAAATAATCAACACCCCCTTAAAAGCACTTGTCTACCCTCCATCCCATTCCCACATCTAGCTTGTCTTGTACACCTCACTCCAGACCCCAAACCCGAACCCAGAAGAACAACATCAATACCAGAATCCACCCCAGTCAAGCCCCGGCAGCGCGTTCCTTACCGAATCAGGCAATCCAACCCGCCCCCGACCTGCCCTGCCCTAGTCTGATTCCGGATCAGTGGACGGTATATATCTAGCCGGCAAAAAAGACAACAGTAAGAGCAAACTAACGCTGTAGCTAAAATTGTATGCAGCTTATCAACACGCACGGAGTGAGCGATACCCACCACGGTAACTAGTGCTTCTACTAAGTGGTAATACCTGGGTGCAGTCCGAGGTCTGTGTCCCGGCCGTGGGTTTGAGGGCCCGAACGGGAAAAGAGTTCCCCTTTCCTGGGTCTGCGTAGGAGACTGAATGAATGGTGGGAGGGGAGAATGTGTTTGGTGATAAATCCATGGACGGGGCTGCATTGCTTTTGAATATGTCAATTCGACCATGTTGCATGGATTTGGGATGGGTTGATTCGTAGTGAGAATTTTACTGTATAGTATAGTGGAGAAGGAAGGGCATGCAGTTTATTTGAACTGTGAGAATCACAATACCTCGAGCAGAAAGGCGCATCAAGTCTTACTATAGTATTCGCCACTACGTCAATAAGCTGGAACCGCAATAAACACCCCCACCAGAAAAGAAGACAAGCGAAAAGAAACTACAACACCGCCCTCCCCATCCCCCTCCCCCTCCCCCTCAAGGCCTGCACCACCTCCTCCGCCCCCTTCTCCCCCGACCACAACGCCCCCTCCATATACCCCTTCCAGACGGCACTATACTCCGTCCCCACGAAATGCACATTCCCCACCGCCCGCCCATACACCTCGTCGTACCGCGCCAAATGCCCCGGCGCCGTGATCGGCGCCAACGCGCCCCGACTATACCGCTCATGCTGCCAGATCTGATCGAACATCTCGATCGGGCGCCACACCTCGGACGTGTCGTCCTGCCCAAACACCCGGGCCAGCTGCTTCAGCACCGCCGCCCGCCGCTCGTGCGGCAGCAGCCGGCTCCACTGCCTCCCTGGGTTCCCGTTCACGAAGCACGTCAGCGAGAAGTGCCGCTTCTCGTCGACAGAGGTGTCCCGCGCCAAGATGACGGGCCCCGCGTAGCTGGCGAAGTACCCGTTGAAGTGCTGGGCGCGCCACCAGGGCGTGTCGTAGCAGATGATGGCCTTGTTGTAGTCGCCGAGGATGGTGGTGTCGGTGACGGTGCGGACGGCGGGGGGAAGCGGGGGCGTGATTGTGAGCTCTTTGTACATGGTGCTGGGGAGGGAGAGGATGAGCTTGCGGGCCGTGTAGACTTTCTTATCGGATGTAGTGACGGTGACGGTGACGTGGGAGGCGTGGTCGTGGATGGCCTGTACGGGGGTCGAGAGGTGGATGTTTTGGTGGCCGATCAGGGCTGCCAGGCGGGTGGCGATTGTTTGGGCGCCTTTGCAGGTGGGCTGATGTTAGCTGGTGTACGTCTCGTTGGGATAGGTCTTTGGGGATGGGCTCACCATCCTGAAAGCGCAAATACTGTCCCCCCGACGCGTCGTCCGCACGGACAGCCAACAGTCCCCGGTTGCGACGACAGTAGTCGATAAACCACCCCGCCGACTCCTCGCTGGCCTCCACCCCGTGCATCACCTGCGCCCACAGGTTCACCATCTGGACCACCCTGGGCAGCGCCCCGAGGTTGCGCACGTACTCCTCCAACGTGATGCTGTCGTCCTCGACGGAGACGGGCCCCGGTTTGAGCGATTCGGCCTGGATGTGGTCGCGGACGGACTCCAGGCTCTTCTTCTCGTCCTCGCTGAACTGTTTCGCCCCCCCAGCTTGTCAGCATCTCATCCCAATAGGGTGAAACGAGAAGGTCACGCACCTCCGGCGTCACGCCGAACGGAAATAGAAACCGCTCCTCCCCGCTCGGCTCCATCACCGCCTGGCCCGCCAGCCGCTGCTGCACGACCTTCATCCCGAACCGCTGCGCATACGCCCACACCCGCGGCTGCAGGGTGTCGTTGATCCAGGCGGCGCCGAGCTCGACGCAGCCCCGTCCCGAGGCCAGCGGCACGCTCCAGACCTTGCCGCCGACGCGGTCGCGGGCTTCGAGAACGAGAACTGAGAGCCCGGCTTGCTGGGCGGAGTAGGCCGCTTGGAGGCCGCTGAAGCCGGCGCCAATGACGATCACGTCGTACATGATGGGGTTCTGCCAGTAAAGGGTCAGTAAAGGGGGGAAGTTTTGGGGCTGGGAAGGTGGTTTGGATGAGAGCTAGGCTGGGGAGCTTCATATATATGTGTTACAATATTGCATGGTATGATTTGTAGCAATGGTAGCAGCGGAAAGTTGGCCAAGAGAGGAAGGTACCCTTCCTGGCCGGGGCACGGGGAGCTCTCATTGTCATCTCCCGATCTGGCTTAGGGCTGGCTCTCATGGTTTTTGCCGGATCGGGAGGGCACTCACATGACTGCAGGGTGCAGTGCAGCATGCATTGGGGGTTTTCTTGCTGCCGTGTGTCCTGCAACAGTGAGCACAGCCAGTTCTATGCAATGGGCAAAGACCTTTCGCTTTCTGCATCAGACTTTGCTGTTGCGTACTATCTCAGTAACTATCGACTATCTTTACGCCCGCTCGCCCGCTTCCGTGCCAAGACTCGGTATACTATGGTGTGAGTCCCATATCTCGCAATGTGTTTTCCAATTATTGATAACAATGCCAATTTGGGACCCGAAAATAACCAGAGCAAGGAGAGTCAAGATTTTCACTCAAACGTCTCCCCAAATATAAGGGTGGAGCAGACTGCAGAGGACGCCGCCGCGACCTCAGGCAAACATTGCAAACATGATGGTCTAGCTTAAGAACGCATAACTTTCTTGACTTGAATGAAGGCAGCACCACCCATAACCATCACCTGGTGCAACAGAGATGATATCGCCAGACAAAACCATCACGAAGTATCAACAATATAACACCAGATGTTGGCCAAGAGATAATTAGAGCAGCGTGATCGAAAGCCGTCTTCGCACGGGTAAAGTACTGTACCACCGGCCCGAGAAGGGAATAGTATATTCCCACGCTCACCACACCCAGCCATCACCAACGCCACTCCAAATACTCTTCACCCCTCAAACCTTCCTACTAATCATCACAGCATCCTAGAACAAAACAAAGTCAGCAACACCACACCCTCAATCTCACGATCAAAGGTAAACAAACCTCCTGCCCATTGACCAAAGTATAAGGCAACGTCCGACTCTCATATCGCACCACCCTCCCCTCGACCTCATGCACCGCCTGCTCCATCCACCGCGCATACGCCCGCGCCCCCTCCATCCCCACATTATCCGCCACGACCAGCGCGCCCTCCCTCAACAGCCCCAAGTGTTCGGCGACCAGCAAATCTGGAAGATACAGCTCCCCCCAATGATCGACAAACAGCAGATCTACCGCTGTGTTGCCCCCAAGTTCCCGTGCCACCCGGGCCAACGACTCCTTCGCCTCGCCCACAAGCACCCGCACCAGATCCCCCAGCCCCGCGAAGTCGATCAGCGATTGCGCTACCGCCGCGTACGCGGCGTTGCTCTCGAGGCTGTAGTACCGTGCTGCGATGCCGGGGGTGGTGGTGGTGGTGGTGCGGCGCAGCTCGTCGGCGAACTGGATGGCGGAGTAGCCGATGTAGCCGCCTAGCTCGACTATCGTGCGCGGGGAGGAGGAGCGGATGAGATCGACGATGGGCTGGCTGCGTTCGGGGCCGATGGTCATCATGCAGTGGTTGTGGGCGGTGGCCCAGTTGTCGATTTCCGTGAGGATGGCGGTGGGGTTGTTGCGGAGGTGGGCGGCGGCGGGGTGATGGAGGAGGTGGGCTTGGAGGGCTTGTTCGCGGCCGTCCTTTGGGGGTATTAGTTCTGGGTAAACGGGGTGGGAGTGGGGTGGACGTACGCCGTGCCAGATGGTTGGGAGGGATTGGGTGGTCATTGTTGGTGTTGATCAGGATTGTTGGGAATGGTTGGATGGTGAGGTTGGAATCTGATGGTTGGCGATCATGAAGGGAACTGGTCTTTATACTTGCTATACTGTGGCTGCCTCTCTATGGAATTGATCTTATCAGATCAAAAGCGCTGTCTCCGAGGCATAGACCGAGATGCGGGGATACACTCGGCCTCGATTTTCTTAGGGCCGAGCTGCTGTAAAGCCGAGGATATGTCCGAGTTGGGCCGGCAGCGGAGGGAAGATCATCTTCGTTAGCTGCTGGATCTATTTCGATGGCTGTACCAGGCCGTACAAGCTAGATTAGAAAAGGATTTCAAGATGCTCGTGGGCTTCACTACTGCTAGTAGAGTTCTTGTGGGTGAGTCAAGCTTGTGAGTTTGAGTGTGGAGGAGGTCGACTTTCCTTCTATATAGCTCAATTTGGTCGACTTCCTATATAGCTCAAACTTGGCAATAAACTTCCCCCAAGACTCTGACATTCTGCATTTGGTGAACAAACAGAGTCGATACTACGTACTTAGAAAACATCACATAGCTTCAGCAAGCTGTCAAGAGCAACACCAGACTAGACCACCGAATCCACCTGTGCACCACCCAAACCCCCAGCTCCATCGCTTCCACCTCCGCCCACCCCCACAGTCCTCGGATATAACATCTCTCACCAACAATTCCAAAAGTTAACCCC